TATATATATATATTATTATATATAAAAAGGTATATACTAATTTCTAAGTTAACGAAAAAATAAAAAGAGGAAAATTTTTAATGAAATTTATAGGCTTTGACTTTTTGATATTATTAGTTAAGCGTTAATATGTTACTTGTTGTGTTACTTTTATTCTTTACACGTATGATGCGTATTGTGTCAGAATTCGTGACGAATCAAAGAAAATAATGTTAATAATTACGTATGTAATACGTGTCTTTTGTACCTGTGTATCTTCTTGACTTTTTCTTTTTTTCTTTTCTCTTTCTCTCTCTCTCTCTTTCTCTCTATCCCTTTTCAGATAACAGATTATTCTTTTGTTTTTTATAGAGTCGACCAAAGACAAATTAAAAGGAAGAAAATATAACGATACTACGCCAGATGTTTTACCTTCGGCCAAGGGAGATTTAGAATACATTGTACCAATGAAAATTAGCCAAAATCAATACGAAGATCCACGTAAGTTTTTGCTAATTATTATTATTATTATTATTATTTCTTAATACGCGTATATATTTATAAATTAAAACAAGTGTTTGTTTCTTTTTATTTTTATTTTTATTTAACTGTGTTATTTTATATTTTCATTGATTAATGTTAAACGGTAGTATTATTAAAAATCAATCGAGTATTGGCAAAATGAGTGTTCGTATAAAAATCAAATAAATCAAATAAATACAATGTACAATGAAAATGAATATAGGAGATATGTTGATATGTGGCACCATTTATTTTGAAAGTGTTTTTATTTGTATTATATTTGTTTATATTTATAAATTCATTTGCAGCCCGTCAATATATATTATTCTAATTAAATTCGTGTTTTTAAAAAAGAGAGAAAAATTGATATAATCAAATTACATATTGATAAGTTAATACAATTGACATAATTAATTTATATTTTTAACTAATTCACTCTGATATGCGCTAAACTTAATTAATTTTTTCGAAACAATCAAAAAAATCTACTCACACCTATTTTCAATATAAAAGTATTCATATTTCGTATATTGTTGCATTTAGAAAAAAAAAAATAAAATACGTGTAAAGAAAAACGATGATGAAAACAACAAATGAACGAAATTAGGGTTATTTTATTTTCTAGCCGATCCATCTACAACATCAAAAAGACATCACAGTGGACATTTTCGACATTCTACAGCAAGAGTATGGGATCCACATCCACAATACGAATTTACAGCTTTTGGAAAATTCTTTCGTTTGAGGCTTGCTCACGATTCAAGTTTTATATCACCGGATATAAAGGTACGTATTAATAAAAGTAAATCAAAACCATAAATAAGTGTTATACCATTTTATTTTATTTCTATAATTGAAAGTGATACTTGAAACTGGGACAAGCAACTGTTCTTTATTAAATAAAAAATACAAAAAAACAACAAACGATGAGGGTAAAAAAATCATATATCATCATAACACGTTTTAACTTTTGTATTTTATTATATTTTTTTATTTACGTGGCATTGGATGCAACTGCCAGATGCAATTTTTAATCAATCTATTCTTTTTTTATCTTACGTATAAGAATATTAATTTAATTTTATTGAAATAATAATATTTGATATTTTGTATAGTTGTTCTAATAAAGATTAATATTTTGTCTGAGTTTAAAAAATCATATTCTTATATTAAAAATTAATATATTAATGATGTTTATTCAGGTAACACATATAAGTGCAAACACAAGTAGAAAAGTGCATCCTGGTCATCAGTTGGATTGTTTCTATAGTGGATACATCGATGGGGATCCTAATTCTATAGTCACCGTTAATCTTTGTCATGGAATGGTAAGTGTTTTTTATATTTAAATAATAATATTTATAACACTATCCAAAAATATTAAATAATCATATTTACAATATTTTCTATCGTTCCGAGAGATTGATATTATATATTAAAAATATTGAATTAAATCTTAGAAAATTTATTTGATAATTTAACGCAAAAATGAAACATTTGGCATTAGTAAATGTTGATTTGTAGGAGAACAGATATTGTAACTTTAGAAATATGCAGTCAAATGATCTTATAAATAAATATTACCACGGTAACACAGTACCGTAGTAGTTCAGTTAATATTAGTGAACTAAATACGTGAACCTTAAGACTTCGTTTTCTTGCATTCGTTCGTTGCATTTCGCTGTTTTTAGTGCAGTGGTATTATAGTGTGGTATAGTCTATCCAAATTGGACAGTTGCCACGCGGTTATGTTAAAAACAAGTTTCCGGATTATCTTGGCAAATCAGTCCTGTGAACGTATAAGTGTATATATGTATATGTGCATGTAATATGTAGTATATAATATACATATATATATAATACACTTAAGGTGCCGAGATAGTTGGCTGACTGACTGACTGAGTTTAAGTATGGAATCTGAGACACGTGTGTTTTATCTTTTTTATTTCAACAATTACAGTATTTCATGCTATTGAACATTTTCTTAATTCGTTTAGTTTTAAACAACTAACTATTATATCTCGTTTTAAATATACTTCGATTATTTTCGAATAAATTCTTGCTTGCTTGCTTGATGTTCTGTGGAGATTAGGCTAATGTGAATGATATATATATATGAATATAAAATATATTATTAAAGATGGGAATAAAATAAAATTAAATAAAAGAAATAAGAGAATTTATGAGAAATACGAGAATGGTGTAATATAATATTACATTGGAGGTGATTATGTTAAAAAAAAAATGATTGATATAAAATTTGTTCGTTATTATTATTTCTTTCAAAACTTTCGCTTTTCACAGTTAAAAATCAAATCTAAATATAAGTTAACAGGATTAACACGTCGTAGTTTAATTTAAAAAAAAAAAAGAAAAAAACAAACAAAAACATAATCTTTGATTTAATGCGTGCAATAATGCAATAATATCATTGTGTATGTGTTTTGTTGCAATATATACTGCAAATTAATCTCGCGTAGAAAAATAATTATGTTAGAAAGAAAAAAGAAAAATACTATTACAATTTTTTTTATAATACAATAAAGTGTTTTGAAAAAATATATCGGTATAGTGTTACGTTAATTTGATTATGAAAATAAGAAGAAAGAATAATAATAATAATAATAATAAAAATAATAATAAAAATGAATGAAGATAGAAAAATATCGTTTTAATTCGAGTTATTTCATATGGGGGTGAGTTTCGAATGGTGACAATTTTTATTTCAAATATGTTATTATTATCGCATCGGTCGATCAACGAATTTTTATCTTCGAATTCCTTAACCTCCTCCTCCCCCCTCCCTCCCTCCCTCTACCACCCTTTTTTTTCTGACTCATGTTGAGTCATTCGAACGTTTTAAATAGGGTTATAAAATACCAATACACGTTGGAGATTAACAAAATTCGAGTTAAGTCGTACCGTACGTTTTAATACGAGCTCGATAAATTCGAAGGAAACATTGCTCCTCGTTTTTAACTTTATCGCTTTAAAAAAAAAAAAAGGATAATATTTGAAAAGAATTTGTTGTAAATTAAATAAAAATGCGTATCGCGGTATACTTATCCTAATGGTCAATAACGAACTTTGTGATTTTTTGTTTGGATTAAAGAATTAGTATAAATAGGTCCCCTTTAAATGGGTTTTAATGGTTCGTTTGTATTTTTTCTTTTTTTTTTTTTTTTTTGAAATATTTTAAGCTAGTTTTTTTTTATCATTCGAATAATTGTAGTGTTAATTAAAATAAAAATTAAAAAAAAACAATTTTAAATAAGGAATAATAGGATTTTGAAAAATAATGTAAATGCAATCTTTTGTAATTAAAATTGTAATAATTAAATAACAAAATGTAATTAAAATTCTTAAATGTGATAATTTTCAAATAAAGAATAATTCTTTCTCGATACTATAGAGTTGTTAGATTTCGTTAGTTTTATTAATTAAAAAAAAAAGAACAAGAAAAAAAACATAATATAGATCAAACGGTCGTCGAAGACAAAAAAAAACAGAAAAAAAAAACATAAAAAAAGAATGGAAAATAAAATGAATCAAATTACCTTATTTATAATTTTTTCTAAAATAATCGAAAAAATCTATTATCGAATGTTTATTAACTCGACGTGAAATTAAAAATAAAAAAAAAAAAAAATCAACAACAAAAACTCGCTAAAATTAATTTAATGTTAGCAAATAATTAAATTGAGATAAATAATTTTGTTTTTCTTTGTTCGAAAGATTTTCTTTAGATATTTCTTCTCACGGTATTACACTTTCGCACGGATATATAATATTTGTTGCGTGAATCTAACAAATGGTCAATTTGAGAAACGTCTAATGAATGAAATTTGAACTTTTCTGGGTCCTGGACAAAGTGAGTTCAACGACGACCGGACTATACACGTTATACATTATATCGCTACTCGTCTCCTCGTTTAAATCTCTTTCTATCTTTTTTTTTCTTCTTTTTTTCTTTCTTTCTTTTTTCCATCAACGAAAGATATCCGGCAGTCAGTTAAAAGGAGTCCCAACCTAAAGTCGACGTTTACCCTTAGTTACGTCGTCGTAAATTTTGTTTCAAAAGAAAATTTCATTCGGGTTCCCCTCACCCTTCCTACCCCTTGCTCACTCCTCTTCCTTCCCTACCCCGCGCGCAGTAGTAACCCCTTTCCTCTTCTTCGTGGTTATTTTCACGGATTAACGTAATTCACAACCGTGCAACGCTCGTTTGCTTGACACCTTCGGGGGACACGTATTTATAAACAAAAAAATAACGTATAAAAAAGAAGAGAAAACATCTTACGGTGGAATAATTTTAAGTTTCTTTTTTTTCTCTACCCCATCCCCCACACCCTTCCCTTGCCTCTTCAAATTTTGAATGCTTGTTCTAATGAAGCATTAAAGACATTTCTAAAGGAAGGAAGAAAGATAGAAAGAAAGAAAAAATAAATAAATAACGTATATCGTGGTTAAATAAAGTAACAAATAATAAGAAGGGATTATGTCGAAACGAAATGATGCTCTTATGAGATTTGAGACGTTCACATTGTGAAGTAGTATTGTAATTTATATACTATATATATTTTAATAATGTTATTTCATAATAGATAAAATGGAAATAATATATGTATTTATGATCATTTATTTTACGTTGGTTATATTGTAGAACGGTGGGTCTTTCTCTCTCTCTCTCTCTCTCTCGTTGTTTGTTTATTAATTTAATAATAGAGAATTTTATTTTGTTATAACAGATATTAATGGTAGTGATTCTCGTCCGTTGTGTATAATATTTATATTCGATAAAATATATATATAATCAGGTTTTTATTGCACAACTTACAAAGTTTTTTACAATGTCTTATCATTACTTTACTTATATTATTTCTCACATTTTTGGTTTATGCTCTACTCACCCCTCCTCTACAAATATTTATCAATATAATCTCGATAAAATATAATTTAATTATAA